AAAAAAAAAAAAAAAAAAAAAAAGGGGCTGGTACCTAGCCCAAGTGGGCTAGCTCAGTTGGTTGAGCATGTAAGTGGCATTCAGGAGGTCGTGGGTTTGATTACCCACGTCATCCATTCGGCCCCCCACGACCCCCTGTGGTGCGCTTCAGGTTCACCAGCAGAGAGTTGGCTTGGGCCTCCTGGCTAGTTGTGGAAGTTGTTGCAGGCTTTCCAGCCCGCGCCAGGTGTTAGGAGCCTGGGTACTGCTCCCTGTAAAGAGCAGAGTAGGGAAGAAGGTCCGTGTCCCCTGCCGAGTGGTCCATATATGCGCAAAAAAAAAATATATGTATATATCGTCATATATATGTTTGACAATATATATATATCGTCACAAACATAGAAAGCTGTCCCCCGTATGAGGAGAAAGACAACTTTTTTTTTTTTTTTAAGTGCTGTTTTTTTTTTAAGTGTTGGTACCAACTTACCAAGTACCCAGCATGAGCTCCAGGAATCAAGCCCTGGCCAGAACAATAACAACGAGACTCTCGCCCTTACCGGCAAAGTCTGCCGGTGGACTTGAAACTGAAGCATGATGCCACAGCCTTGTGAGAGACAAAGGAGTTCAGCATTCGATCTTGGTCAAAGAGTGAAGTGTAAGCTGCTTGGCACCCTGAGAATCTGTCCAGCAGCCTAGGTAAGAGAGCGGCCACTACTACTTTGAAGGCCCTTTGGACAACTTCACCGAGGACAATCCCTGTGAGATATCTCTGTGTGGTGAAGGTGGCTCCTCTGACGATTACCAGCCCACTCTAGCCTTCAGCGATTTTTTTGGCCTGTGATGATAGGTATGGTCTGGGTAATGATTTTGGCCACAATGTTATAGCTCGCTATTGTTCAATTTTGCTGTGTCAAGTGGGGTATCTCAAAGAGGAGCAGATGACTAGATAACAAAGTTGGGTAGTGTAAAGTGCTCACTTAGCCTAGCAGAGGAGCAGATGGGCAAGAGTATTTCAAAGAGATTTGCTTGTTCTGAAAATCGGTTGAGTACGGTGGAGTTTCCTTTTGATGTTTGCTAACCTCCTTTTCAAATTTCACTGTATCATTCTTGTTCACATCTAGAGTGTTACGATGTGTACATTTTCTGGTAGCTGGGTTGTGGCATTATAGAACTGGATGGCACAATTCACGGAAGTAGTTAAGACATTCCCTACCCTTAAATCGCCAGTACATTTTGCAGTAGCAGGGTTGTGGCATTATAGAACTGAACGGCACAATTCACGGCAGTAGCATGCATGCTGCCGCGACTCTCGGGAAGTACCCGGGCGCTGTTTTGCTGGACATCCATCCAGGCAAAACAGGGCTCGCATGGGACCCATTTTGCCTGGATGGATGTGCCGCAAAATGTGTCCCGGTACACTTCCCGATAGTCGCAGCAGCATGCACACCGCGACTTTGATTTTCTAGCTGGGAAACGTACTGGTGGTTTAAAAGAATGGAGGTGCATGACCGTGCATCACCTTTGCTGTGGACTTAAAAGTTGAAACTGAAGTTGAAAGGGAGAACAAAAACTGAGAGAAAAACATGATGTCACAAAATCATGCAGGGATCGCGGGACACCTGTGATGAGAAACAAGATGCCACTAAGGTACACAGACAAATGTCAGGACCCCTGTGATTCAACAAATCAGCAGCAAATCAAAGAATATGGCCTCGAAGGCACACCTGTACTCCCCCTGGTGCTGGAAGAACGTGAGGGAGTGTTCTCTGCAAATCGTCCCCTATTCCAAGCTGGCCATGGCCGTTGCAGCCCCATATAAATGCCTGTGTCAGGCAGCACAGAGGTAAACACAAGAAGCAACTCGTTACAAGAAGTGCAACCATTGATCAACCACCAGCAGGACATCACAGATGCATTAACCTGAAGAAGAGATTCTGTCCACAATGATGAAGTCCAGTCAACTCAGCTGATGCTCCCCACAACAGAACGGAACCACTCTTTTGTTTTTGTTTTTTTTAATAAATATAAAGTTATAAACAGGTCCTTATGGCCCTGGCTCCATTTCCATTCTGGGGATCATCAGTCCGGTTCCTATTCCACCGGCAAGTCATGAGAATATTACATCATAGAACTCACCCACGCTTCCTTCCGTCTGGCCAAAGGAACCCTGATCAGCATTGATTACTCCAACATCGAGGAGGATTGACTGTCAGCTTGCCCTGTTTACACCTTTCCTCTCAGGACTACTATAAGAGCCTGTCAGATAAAACATGCAAAGCAAGAAAGGTCTAAGAAGCAACATCTGCTACCAATGTTGTCAAAACCCTAAGCCCTGCAGCTAAGCATTGTGAACTCTTTTGTATTTTAGCCTCTGATTGTCTTGTTTCTGTCCCAACCCTCAGCCCTAAACCCTAAACACTAAAGAAGATCAATCCTTTTCCATGTGTTCCATGTGAAACACCGGCTGCCGCCTGTCGCGCGTGTATCTTGGATGTTCTTCGAGGCACAGATTGGAGCTGGTTCCTCAAGCACCCGGGTATTCTGCTGGGATACCGGCTTGACCGAATTTCAAAAGGTTCCTGATCGGTAATGAAGATTGGAGGATTGACTGCCAGATTGCCTATCCCTGAGTCCCCTCTCAGATCCCCTCGCTGATCCCTCTGCCGGGAATCTGTTAGTACAACGATAAAGCAAGGAAAACAGATATCAGAGCTGACATAACCCTGGATCATCTCAGGTTGCTCTGAAGTCTTGCTGTTGGTCACAATGTGAATTTCGTGTCCCCTGGGCAGCCACCGAGTTATGCCAGTCTTGCCATCTGATTTGCGATCCGTGAATCTCCGCGATCTTTCCGTGGGCCAGCCAAATTCTCCTGAACTTTGATATCAGCTCTTGCTGCTTCTCCAGGTCCTGCTGGATTTGGAGTGTGACTTTCCTCCACTGGCATCGGATCTCCGTCTCCATTAGAGATTTCGTCATTGCCCATATCGGTTCACTCGGGTTGCTTGACTTGTCGATGGTTCTGCAGCACCTCTCCTTCCAAATGACCCAAGGTGTTACCTTCCTGATTATCCCGAACCAGACGTGTTCAGATTTAGTAAATCGAGCTGGGATGTTAGTCCATAAAAGCAACTGGATCGGGTGTTCGGGAAGGGCGGAGGGAAAGAGGTAGTCCCAAAGTGTTGAGGCTCTCGCACATAAGTCAGTAGCGAACTTCCAGGTTATGAGACAGTGAATTAAATCTTCTTGTTCGTTGTCTGAACAAACCACGCATTGTTCTGAACTATTTGGGTCGCTATTCTTTCTACAGACGTATAGCCAAGAGTTTACTAGGAGGGCATTATATGTGATCAACCATTGAAGACTTCTGATCTTGACTGGGCGTATTGATTTGTATTTCGTCCAGGGCAACTCAGAGATTGGTTCCAGTCTCTGTCCTAGCAGTTTAGTCCATCTTTCGCTTACTACAGGGTCTGGGTCTTTTGTTTTCAGTAGTAATCTGTATCCCATTCTGACTGTGTACTGGGTTATGTGCCTGGGGGTCTTACATGTTCTGTTACTGCCTGAGGTCCAGGCCCATTCGTCTGGGTCGAATTCTAAATCTTGAATTGTTGTATCTACTTGGAATATAGTCTTTGGCCAGATTCACAAAGTCCTTACTTTTCAAAGAGTATATGAGTTCAGGGTCTCTTCTTGAGGATCGATGTTGTGGATGGTTAGGGTTTTGGGGTTGGTCCGATCTATTGGGAAGGAGGTGAAGACTCCTGCAAAGTCTGATCCACGAGATCTGCGATAAAATTGTTGGGCTCTCTGTGGTGACGTTTCCTGGATCAGAACTCCCCACTCCCCCGATTTCCAAGAGAAGTCCTCTTTTAACAGGTTCTTCCAGCTGACCGGAATGTTGTTGATTATTGTTGCCAGATTCTCATCTCCGTGGTGACAGCCCTTTAGGTGTGTTCTCAGCTGTTCCTCACCGATCCAATCTTTCCCCTCTTCATCCCAAATGTGGCTGACACACCAGACCCCATGTCTGATCCAAGAGAGCCATCGATGCCCGTTTGTAAGTGACAGTGGGTGCCCCCTTGCGTCCCTTACACATGGGTTCCCGAACAGGGATTGACGTAGGACCGGAACCACTGTTTTGAACATTACCTGAGGGGGGTCAGACGAGGATAACCACCAACCTACTGTTTTATTACAGTTTATCTTCATTTCCGAGGCCAGCTGGAATGCTTGCATTGCTTTTGTGAGTACGAGGAAGGAGGAATCCGATGCTCTGATGAAGACGGTTAAGTCGTCTGCAAACAACATTACCGTGGGGATGATTAGAGGTCTTCCGTCATAATCTGACGAGAGTCTTCTATGGAACGGTCCTTGCGGAGAAAGACAGCTATTGCCTCCATCACGAAAAGGAAGATTGGGGCTGCCAGCGGGTCCCCTTGTCTAACAGATCTCGTCATTTTGTATTTTTCCGAAAGGTGGCCGTCGACTTGAACCATCCCTTTGGCGTCCCTATATAGCACCCTTATCCATTTCCTGAAGTTTGGTCCGACCCCCATTTTTTCCATGCTTAGCTGTAAGAAATCCCAGTTGACCTGGTCGTACGCTTTTTCGAAATCGAAGAAGAGTATGGACGCTTGTAATTTTTTGTCTTTTATGATTTTAGTAGCTTCGTTTAGGCAGACCACATTATCCAAGATGTATCTTCCCGGGATGAAGCCTGTTATTATTTGTTTTTTATAATCAAGAGGAGGACGCTAGGCCCATTTTCCACCAGTTGTCACTTCCCACCAATAGATGGATCCTTTTCGTATAAAAAAAAAAAAAAAAGAGGAGGAGGAGTTTGTGAGAGCCAAACCCAAGAAACACCGGGTATACAATGGTTGGACTTGCAGCAACCAGTACGTTTTTTGTGCATCCAAGTAACGGATAATGGAGTCAGCGAGTCTTCAGGTATCAGCCTCCTTGTCAAGATGACCAATAAGCTGGCAGGCTGGCAGGCAGCGAGCACGTCTCTTATGGGAAGGGTCCTCGTGCTTAACACCTCAATACTATCTACAGGATGGTACATGGCGTCCCTCTGGAATCGCCCCCCGAGTTTCTTTACCAACCTCAAAAAGAAACTTGGAGCCTACCTCTGGACAGGCAACGCGGATAAGAACAGCTACATATCCAAAGTAGCTTGGAAATATGTTACAAGACCCAAATCACAAGGAGGCCTAGGACTATTGAACCCAGTCGCACAATTTCAAGCACTCCAACTTAAATGGATAACAGAGAACTTCCATGGCATAACATGGCCATGCAGCAGATCCGCAATTTAGTTCCTTTCAAAGTTGACCCAACCATAGAAGGCTATCACTGGATACTCAACCCTGCATAGACCCCGGCTAGAAAAGAAAGAAGAAGGCAGATGGAAGGGAAGGACCCACCCAGTGACCACTGCGCCTCTTTGATAAAACATTGGAGAGGCTGCTTCCCACAGAAAATAAAAACCCCACAAATCAGAGAGGAGGTCTTGAGACAACCCTTATATGGAAACCCCCTTTTAAGAGACCAAAACCACAATCCCTGGACTCTGAATTCTAAGGGAAAACACTGGAAAAAATGGATGGAGAACGGAGTCTGGAAAGTGGAACACTTATGGAACAAGGAAAATAACAGATGGACCACGGCTCAGGAATTGAGAACCAAACTTAAGGGAGTCCACAACCTAAAAGATCACCTGGAAAGGTTGCTAGAAAGTATCCCGTTGAAATGAGAACTTCTCCTAAAATCCAAGACCAAGTGGAGCGTAGGGGATTGGACAACAAAAAAAGGGTCAAGCCCCCCACTCGAGGGATATAAGTTGATCAAGGTACTCGACACAGAAGAAGGAAAGGCAGAGTTCGAATCCTTTGAGCTAACAGATGAAACCTGAAAAAACAATAGAACAGAGGACAACAATTGAATTTAAAGACCTAAGAAAAGTCAGAATCTGTACTCCCAAATCCTTCAGTAAAAAGATCCTTACCTACGAATAGGGGCAAAAGAAAATCTGGATCTCCAGACCACCCCAGGATATTAAGGACCTCGAAGTGGACCCCACAGAATGGGGTTGGTATACCCCACGCAGCACGGGAGGAGCCAAAAAGCTCATACCCCTTTATGACTACGAAGTCAAAATGGGTTACAGACTAAAAAATGACACAAAGGACCCTCAGCCGGTAATAACGAAGAGATGGAAAGAGAATCTAGGGGAAAATGCAGGATGGGAAAGCAAAATCTCATGGAACAAGTACACCAACATAAGACCAGCTAGGATCAGCAGCTTACAATGGCTCATAATATACTGGGCGGTACCGGTCAATCTATGGTTATGCAAAAGAAGAAAACAAGTAGACCTCCAGCAACAATCTACGTGGTGCAAAGTGTGCAACAAAGGTCTTGAAGAGTCATTGACGCACTGCCTCATTCTCTGTCAGCGTGCCCAAGAGTTATGGAGCAGAACAAAGACACTGTGGGTCAAACTAACAGGACACACCTTTCCTTCCAACAAGATTACCTACTGGCAGGAAGGACCATAGGCGACAATTTGGAGGAGGAGGAATTACCATTAGCAGATATGTGGAGGAGACCGACTTTCTGGGTAATATGGAAAGCAAGATGCAACGGTACGTTAGATAATCAATTTCCCAGTTTGGAGGAAAGATGGATGGAAGTTAAGTCCATAATACAAACAGAGGTAAGGGCCCGGTGGAACAAGGAGCAAAAAGAACAGCAGAAAACAACACAACCAGAAAAGTGAGACCTGAGCCAGAAAAGATTCGAGAAAATATGGCTTAATGAATTGCAAAAATTGAGAAGGGCAGACTGTACTTCAACAACTGGGAATAACAAAAAAAAAGAAAAAGAGTGGGAAGGAAAAGGAAAAGGTATCCCTCAATTCAAGTATCGTGACTAAACAGGGAAAATAATAATAATAATATATATATATATATATATTATATATAATATATATATATATATATCGTCACAATATATATACGCAACACTACCAGTTAATCAATGGCTTCATGTTAGGCGAAAGGGCTCCGACCCTGACAGTTCTGATCAATGCAAGGTGTGCACGGAGGATGCAGTAGAGGATATAGTACACTGCCTAATTCACTGTAGGGAGGCGATGGATTACTGGGCGAGAGCCTCGACCCTCTGGGACTCCCTTTTCTGAACCCCTTTCCCTAAACACCCCATCCAACTTCTCCTTCTGATTAACATCCCTGAACAGCCCCGGAAAGCGGAAAGGATTTGGTATGGACTCATAAGGAAGGTGACCCTATGGGTCATATGGAAGGAAATATGCAGCAGAACGATTGAAAGTATCTCCAGCTTACGAGAGCTGATCTGGACGGAGACGAAAGTAATGATACAGGCAGAGATCCTTTGCAGAGGGCGGAAGATTAAATTATCTTGGTCGGAGGATGAAGAGCAGCAAAGGAAGGCTAGACGGAGCTTCGGCAGGGCATGGTTGATAGATGGGAAAGTTGCTGAGTTGCGGGACGATCGCATCTGTTGGAAGGACTGGCACAACTCTAGCTCAAGAAGAAACGGTGGACAGCAGAGTGCAGCGCACAGGCAAAGCACCTCCGGATCAGAACTCCAAAGAGAAAGTTGCGGACTCATACCACCACATTCGGGGAGATACAGTCGGGGTCCGAAGTTACGCCAATGGAAGGCGAGAGCAAGGGAGGAGATATTTCAAAAATAATACTTCCAAGTGAGGGGCAGGGTTTAGGGTTTAGGGTTTAGTAGACCTCAAAAGAAGGGAGAAGGCTAAATGGTTTAGGGGATACAGCGACTTACGGGCAAGGCCGATGAGGGGGAGAGCACAGGCATATAAAAATAATGGGCGAGCTCTTTCTAGATGACATAGCAGTATCTGACAGAGCTGGTGTTTTTCCAGATATGAGAGGAAAGAGGGAGCCATGGCAAGCTGACAGTCAATCCTTCACCATTGGTGGAGCAATCAATGTTGTTGAGGGGTCCTTCGGCCAAACGGGAGGAAGCGTGAGTTTCTGTTGTAATGTAATGTTTCTTCTGACTTGCCGGGGGAATAGGAACCGCACTGACGCCCCCCCCAAAAAAGGAGGGGACAAAAAAACCCTGCGGTTTTTTTAAAAAAAAAAAAAAAAAAAAAAAAAAAAAAGTGCACGGATCCGATATGGGTAAGTGTCTTTCCAAGCGGGTGGGTCATTTCAAGTCCTCTAGTGAATTCAACTCCGACTCTCTTTTTTCGGTTCAATGCGGCTTACACGGCTCACTGCGAATTATGAAATTCTTTCATTTCCGTCATGCCCACCTTGCTTCGCCAAACTCTCGGAGTGCCATGGGTAAACCATCTCGTTCGTCCCTTGCCTCCATTCTCTGCATCTTTACTGAATACTTAGCCGTACGAGATAGTCACCTGTCATACGGCCCAATTGAGATCTGCAGAAAATTTGGTCGATATTCTTTTTCTAACTGCCATGACAAAAACCTACGCTATAAAGAACGAGCCATGATTACAATTGGGTGTTTTGTTATTCTTACAATGCCAACCGGATTGTTCTGTAGGAATTTGAGTCTGCCTTTCCACTGAAACCAACAAACCTGTCCTTCGGCACACCTGTTAAAATTGGAAGGATACAAAGAAGGATACAAATTACAGAGAAGGGTACAAATTGGAAGGATAGAGAGAAAGATACAAATTAAGGATACAAATATAAAAAGAGAAGGATACAAATTAAACAGAGAAGGATACAAATTGGAAGGATACAGAGAAGGATACAAATTAAACAAAGAAGGATACAAATTAAACAAAGAAGGATACAAATTAAACAGAAAAGAATACAAATTAAACAGTGAAGGATACAAATTGGAAGGATATAGAGAAGGATACAAATTAAACAGAGAAGAATACAAACTGGAAGGATACAGAGAAGGATACAAATTAAACAGAGAAGGATACAAATTAAACAGAGAAGGATACAAATTAAAAAGAGAAGGATACAAATTAAACAGAGAAGGATACAAATTAGAAAGAGAAGGATACAAATTAAACAGAGAAGGATACAGAGAATGATACAAATTAAGATTAACATGCCCCACCTGCACAAGGATGACAAACATATATCAAGAAATGGTCCAAATTAAAGCACTAGTACCAATTGAAGGGCACAGATTAGCCTTTCACTAGTTTGAGAATAAGGAACAACGTGAGCAAGACTTGTGCGTCAAGCTCGTTAGGGATTGAAGGGCACAAATTAGCCTTTCACTAGTTTGAGAATAAGGAACAACGTGAGCAAGACTTGTGCGTCAAGCTCGTTAGGGTGGCACTAAACTCGAGTCAGAATTTGAAAAAAGGAAAGACAGGTTTGATCGCAGTATGTTGGGGAATGTCGAGGTAGCAACCATCAAAGCGTCAGGTCTCGTATTCCAGTGCAGACAGAGAGGATGAAGCGGCAATAGTAAGGGGAAAGAAGAGCAACAACAGTAGGGTTTAGGGTTTACATAGACGTTTCAGTTCTTTGGGTTCTTCAGTGCAACCTAGGGGTAGGTTTGTCCTTTTTGTCAATCTATTTCTTTGTTTAGAATTCTGCACATGGGGACACTGGACCCGGTTTCCAGCCAAGCCAAAGCTTGGTAATGGCCCCAGTACCCCGGGCTGAGATGTGGAGGGATTCCCGACCTCCGTTTGCAATTTGATAATATAAAAGTACCTTTATCGGTTCAGAAAATAGTAGGCCTCCGACCTTTCGGGAGGCGGAAACGAACGACGGCCGCCGATCAGATTTATCAACAGCAGGCCGTTGTTGGGCCCGACATCCTAAAAGTTCGGGACTAGGCTAAAACTTGTTGATACCGGACGGCAACGGTACTAGTGGTTTCGACAAAAAAAAAGAAAACAAAAGTATAACAAGAAACCAACAAACCTTGAGGGATTATCACAACCTCCACTTTCATGCCATCCAATATTTTCACTCTTTCTCTAACAAACAGTGTAAAAAAGTTTGCCAACTTTGCCACGTCAGGATGTCCTTCTTGCACAGAGAAAGGACCTTGGCCACATTTCTCTTCCTGTCTACGCTCAGAAACAAAGCTCGCCTCCATGGCTGCCCTGACTTGTCCTTTGAAAACACGCTTTGATGGTTCTCACCAAAATTTGGGGGTTGTTGGTATCATTGGGTGGACTGCCTAACGCTGTGGAATTGGTAATTGTGTGGGACAAGGGAACTTAGGGAAGCAAAGAAAAAGCAGCAAAAAAAAACTCCGCAACGGCAAGCCATTGTAAAGCAAACAACCTGAGGGCGAAATTACTGTCTGCAGAGCCTAGGAGTGGTCTGTAGTACCTGATAGACAGGCCTTACTGAGATGCCACCCGGGGCTGAATTCACCCCCCGTTCTCTGCATTGAAAATTTGTCCCCAAAGGATGCCCCCGTTCTCTGGGAGGAGAAAATTGGCCCCCAATGCACTGGAGGCTACAGTAATTTCATCAGAAAATACAGTTCGGCTGACTTGCCAGGATAGATAATGGACCTTCCAGCAACCCCGGTTTATCTACCGGATAAACATATGAACAAACAGACAGAATAGCCAAGCACTCAGACTCTGAAATCTCAGCAAATCCGACCAGATGACAACAGCTTTCTCAGAAAATGCTGAATTCTCAGACTTAACATGCAGAATCCCCTGATAGAAGGCATTCTGCCGCCTTGCAGTTGCGCTGCAACAATCTGGTAGTTCTCTGAGGCTTGCACACACATATAACATGCAAAATTGTCAACAACATACCTTGCCTGATGTAATAATCGCTGCTGACATGGAGAAACCAGCATAAGCCCGTGATCCACGGATTGTTTCCAATTTTCTGGGGAACTTCACAAATCTGGGTCCCAGCACGCTGCGCAGTTCATATCCTAGCTGAGTGAAGAGAGAAGGGAATCATACAAATAGAAAGACAACAAAAAGGAAAATGGCACACACACAAAAAAAGAAGACAGTTGGATGTTTTAATTACCAGCACTGACTGTCTGGTTCCCTAGAGAAATCAATCAAACTCCATCTTGTCTAGACTGCCACTAAAAGTGTGGCTCACCCATGCGTAACTGCCCCCCACATATGTGTACCATTGTACCACTAATAGCTTGTTAGTAGTTGTACGATACCCACCTCCCTTCTTAACAAACACACAAACAGAGAGACAAACGAACAAGTAACCGACAAGCAAACCAACAGTCAGAGATGGCAGTGTCTATTCCCACTGCAGGAAGCAACATGTCTTATCTACTTTCCAGTGTTTCCACTGCCAGGTGCATGACACACAACAACATGAAGGATGTGTTTTCTTTTCCCCCTCTTAAATCCAATAACTATCAAGGTGAATGAGAAGATCCCGGCTCCAAAACAGAGGTTTGAAGATTCTAGGAAGCAATCGCCTCAATTTCTTACAACATTAGGGTTTAGGGTTATTGGGCCCCAGTATCACAGGTGACGGCAGATTCACTGATGTCACTGATCACTAAGCTTATCTCTTAGGGAACACCAGAGACCTCTGTTTATCGACCTGCTTGTTCCTGTGTCTGTCGTACTGATCTTCGGTCTTGGACTCCCATGTTCGGTTGTCGCCTTTCCATTACCCTTGATACCACTTCTTCCCTATCAGTCTGTTGTCCGTTATGGTGGCCACCTTGCCCTTTATTAGCCAGTCCTTTAGGAATGCTCGTCTCTTAGCTGCATGCTTATCTGGTCTGTGTTTCGCTGATGAAGATATCGTCCGCCATCTGCTCCGGATTTCGGTCTCCGCCATGTGTATCAAGAGAGTCCACATTTCTTCCTTTGCCACCTCTGCTCCCTCAATTGTCTGTGTGCATCGTCGTTTCCAGTGTAGAATGGTTAGGTGGGAAGTGTTGGGGGGTGGGGCTGAGAAGAGGTTAGACCATAGTTTCTGAACTTTGTTCCAGTACCAGGTCGCTTCAGGACAGAAGAGTAGGCAGTGTGGGATATCTTCAGGCATGTTTCTGTTGGGGGGCATATGATTCTCATATCGCATATCCACTAACTTTTTTTTTTTTTTTTTTTTTAAACAAGTGCTCCAATCTATTCGTGGGGAGCAGCACATGCTGGGAACCGGGCCCAGCATCCCATATCGAATTGTACAGATCATTGAGAACATTTGAGATCATTTGAGATACCGGGGCCATTACCCGGCTTCGGTTGGGAACAGTCTGAGAACAGGATGTGATTCAGAAAGCATGAGAAAGATCATGAATATTTCATGACCTATTAAGCAACTACTCATGCAATAAGCTGTCACATAGGTCCTACGAATGCTCACAACCCTCAGGATCCCTAACAAACCCTTCCAAAACTTTCCAACACAGTCTTACTCCCTGTTGAGCTCTTCCAGGCCTCACGCCCCCACCCTGCTGGGTTACAGGGCAACACGACTCGCCCCAGCTCCGACCAGTGTCGTCCCAGCAGCAACCCTTGGTTGTCCCTTGGGATGCCCAACCCAAAGCATCCCCAGATCTCTCTACCAGGCCTCACGTTCCTGCATCAGCAGGTTACAGGGCAACACCCCAGCACCGGCCAGCGTCGTTCTGGCATCGAACAGCCGCAGATCACTGAGTATAACAGCATCGAA